ATCATGAAAGAAACTTTTGACGTATGGCAAACGGATTGGTTGCAAAAAAAAGGTGCATAATCCATAATTTAAGATATTCAACATGTATGAATCTCAAATGGAAGCGAATCTCATCCGGTTCTGAGATATACAGACATTTTTAAATTGTACTCCAGTAAGTGGATGAAATTGTGTACAATCAAGCGATAATTACACAAATTATGGCTTGAGCTTGTTGCTGTTTTGGCTCCTCTTACTTATCTGGCTGTGCACTCGAATGGAGGGAAATGTGAGCAGTAAGCACTGGGAGGGAAGCAGCCGCAGGGACATCCGCTGAGCCGTACCCGTACCCGTAGACGTAAGCCGTGAACTGTGAACCGTAACCCTTGCCACCTCGTAATCCTTATCAAGCTGCCTGCGAGGACCCATTCTAGTAAGCTTACCCAATTATGAAACATTAAAAATACGCGCATATAAATCGCTTCATTTTTATGCGCAATTACAGCGCGGCTCCGACTGCGGCCGCAGTGTAGCCGTTGCCTGGATGCTTTTCTCTCTATCTTTCTCTCTCGCTCTTTCTATCTCATCCTCTCTGCACAGTTTTGTTACTCCTCTGCCCGTCTTCTCACGCTACTCAATTAACTTAATTCCCTTTTGCATAATGTGGATGAGACGATGATGTTGCTCATTTGACTCGACGCATTTCTCATGTATTTTTTATTTATTTTACATTTAAACGATTTTAAGCTCGTCCGCGTAAACTACTCAACCGTGTGCACTTCGTCTCAAGTGTCAAATGTAAAGTGGAAAAGGAAAAATGCGAAAGCAAAAGGAAAATAGCAAAAATTAGCTGAAATCGCTGTAGCACCATTGTCGTCCCCAGTAACTGCCGGAAGTTGAGACACACAAATAAAAAAAAAAGCAACAAACACAGCAAAATGAAAACAAAAAACCAAAAAATAAAAAATGAGAAAAGGCAAAAAAAATATTAAATGCCGTCACTATGGCAAAAATGCGTTTGTTTGGCTAATGCGATTTCAGACAACGGACGCCTTTCTGCCTAGTCGTCGAGCAAATTTCCAACTTCCAGTTAAAAGAAAACTCTAAGCAGCCCGCCGTGTGGATCTCTAATGGGATTACGAGCAACCAGCAGCAAGAAGAGGTCCACGTCTTGACTTTGTTGCTGATTATCTGGCCACGTTGACAGCGAAATCATCGAACACGACGATGGGGACGATGGGGACGAGCATGGGCACTCGGACTGAGAACAATGCCAGCAATGACTAGCACTATGAAGCGCAACGCTCAACCGCAGTCCTGTAACGAGGATGCAAGGAGAGGAAACGGAGTTGGAGCAGCAGATGATGGCTGGACAAGACGTTAATATTATTATACGCTTTGTAAACAAATTATGAATTATGTTGGATAAATAGAAAAACTTAATAATAACTTGATTGCGCCATTTGGCTACCTCCATACTGCTGACTGCTGTTGTCGCTGCCTCTTGGCCTTAACATTCCCAATGTTGTGCTGTCAAATGGCCAAAATGGGCGACAACACCAAATACACTGCACAAACCTATTGTGATATTGTTAATTTTGTATTTTAGTCTCTTAATAATATCTCTATGGAAAAAATAATAATAAATGTTCAGCGATTATATATATTATACAACTAAACTTACATTAAGATTTATGATATGGTGATTTGGTGACTTCATGAAATCAAATGCACATAATTTACAGTTTAAATTTATAATAATAATAATATAATAAATTACACAATACGTTATATATTTTATTCAACATCATTTTTCTATATCTCTATATTTAGTTACAATTGTCCGTTAAAGATCGTAAATATAAGAAAACATTATCGATTTATGCTGCGCACGATTGTTTGCCTTTAAAATAAAGCCAATAACTTAAATTATTATTATTATATTTTCTTTTAACTCAACTAATTAAATGATTGATACTCATGCGAAATACTGAAAGAAAAATATGTTTATTTTTTGCTTTGTTAGCTATTAGAAATATTTGATTTTATTTGCCTTGACTATTTTGCACAGTGCTAGTAGTGCTTTCCGGTTCTGGCCAGGAATACAAGTACACGTTAGGCACAGGCTCAGAATGGTCGCGCCCTTGGGCTTCAATGAAGCTCTGTCGCTGTCTCTGTCGCCATCTCTCTCTCTCTCTCTCTCTCTCTCTCTCTCTCTCTGTCCGTATCGCTGTCTCTGTCACAGCATCGGCCTCGGCCTCTACATAAATATATATATGGTAACTGTGGCGGCTTCAGGCGCTGGCGGCACGTTAATTATGGTACAAAAATGGCCAAATTGAGGAGGCAACGGAAAAAAGGACGTGTCCGGCAGCAAGACATTGCACGGACGCTCTCATTGCAGGTTGTTGCCGACGACGAATGAAAGAAAATGTAAAAACAAATTGAAAAGTTTTCCACGATATAAATTTGCATTTATTTGGAGCGCTCCTTTTGGTGCGCTGTCTCCTTTTTGTTGGTTGCCTTGGATGACTCGAGCTGGACACGACTCTCGGAGCGTTCAGCTCTCGGCTCTAGCATTGGCAGACACCGTTAGCATACCGGACTTCTACACACACACAAATATGTACAAATTGGTTAAATCGAAAAAGTTTTGCTCCTCTTTTAAAAAATATATATTTTACATACAAATGCATATATGTAAGTGTATACATACATTTTAGCTGAGAAAACACCTACGAAGGCGATAACTAAACAGAAATGAACCGAACTGAACCGAACTGAGCCACACTGAGCTGTTCTGTTCGTTGAATAAGAATTCCTGTTCGTGTCCACTCCACAATTGTCCTGAATGGGAGCATCAGCCAAAAAGGAGAACCTGTAGCAAGAGCAACAGCAGCAGCTGTTGTTGTCACATTGTTGTTGTGCTACCTTTTTGAATATTTATGAAAAATTGAAACGTTTTAGCGCGCGGCCTGGTGCCTGGCAGGATTTGTTCCCTTTTTCACCCTGCGCATGGCGACCGAACTGGGTATACTCGACTTTTGATGACATAATTGTAATAATTCCCTAATTCGAAACAAGGGCTCTGCTCGAGAGTGATACTTCATGAATGGTAGATTGCTTATAAAAAGCATTATATTTAAATTATCAACATTTATTTAAAATAAACATGTGCCTAAAAAAATAATCAATAACAGATATTACAAGGTTACAAGGTATTCAGAATGTTAGCATAAGACTTATTAAGTTTAATGTGCTTGGCAACTGCAAGTTGGGCAAATCGCAATTTTAACCACTTGTCCTTGGGTGTGTGTATTTTTTTATGTCAGTTGCTTCCACACCCGCATGTTAGTTAACTAATTGTATTTTTTTTTATTATTTTTTTCGTTGAGCCACCATTGTTGTTGCTGTTGTGGATGCTTTTGTCGCGTTTCGTGTTACTGGCAACCGCCCACGCACAAAAATGATTTAAGTGCGCCTTCATTAATTACGTTTAACCACTGCGGTAGCTGCTTCCGGGGAGAGGGCGGCTCGGCAGGCCAAAGAGAGTTTGGGCAGTATAAGTGGTTCTAGATGACACCACCCGTGGCTGATGAAACTTTAATAGACTGTATTTCAGCATAATTAACACGGCAAGCACATGAATGATGCATGATAAATCGCTGCCGGAGCGGATGTTAGCACTGCCAACTGCCAGCAACTCTGCCAGTGCCTTCGGCAGTTTGTCTACACTCTACACAAACAAACACACATACAACACACACACACACATGGACGCTCTAATAATTGCCAACGGTTAAATGTAAATTGAGATTAAGGTAGGCAAGCCGCCAACCTTACTGATCCATCCCTCACCTTCCCGCCCCAGCCAACGCATTTTTAATGCGCCCCTCGAAAGGGATTGCGTTTTATTTTTCAAATTAAATGCGGATGGTCAGTGCAAAGGGAAATTTACTAATGATAGATAGGCAGCGATTAGTGAAAAGAATATAGCTTAAATCTGAATATAAACATCTGCAGAAAGTTGGCAACAATTAATTGTGTTTGTATATTTTCATCAAGTCAATCACATCTGCATTTTACTTGCATTTCTTACTTACTTATTATTTCCAACTGTAAGTTAAGAATTTATTTGCAAATTATAAATATAATATACTATTTGGAATTATGTCTTCATTGTTTAATTTAAGCCAATTTGTTTAAACAAGCACTTAGCCATATAAACATACTTATACACCTAAATTGTTTACTGGCCCTTCAATTTGAATTTTGCTATGCTGGTCAGAAATGGATTCATCTCGAGTAAAACGAAAAAGTGTATGTATATATTTACAGAATAAACTATTGATAAAGTTGTTAATCTGTTCAGCAAAGTATAAGGTGTATGCCTGAAACAATGCTTTATATTTGGCCCATGCGGCGATAACTGAGTTCCGCCTGAAAGTAGGCTCAGTAAGTGGCACCAGCAGGCACTCCCTGCGCCGGCGAAAATGAAGAACCGGTCGGCAACCTGACCCAATTAACCAAATTAGCTCATCGCATCAGAATGTTTATTATCGCAACCCATATATATAAAAATACTTTCGAATTCTCAGCCTCCACATACGTACACACTTATATACATACCATATCAGAACCAAAACCAGTCGAATAAGTTCCCAACATTTGAACTTGGCCAATGTGTCGTACCTGTGAAGGCCGCTTAGCGATTTGTCAACTCTACGAGTACAATGCACGTCATCGATTCATTAGATTCGCTGTCTATTTGTTGATGTGCCACTGTGCCAGCTCAATGCGAATGCAAATTGAAATCGCATCACTTGTCAGTGTCGTGGAGAGGGGCAAGCAAATTTATGATTTTGCTGCGCTGATTTGTTGCAGTCCGTGGGACTCTCCGGTCTTGGACAGCTTCATATAAAAGTGTTGCAGATGGTGGCCGAGAAACGCATTTGACGCTGGCCACAGCACTGGATTAGACATAGCCCCTCACCCTTTCCCAAACATCCTTCGACCGTAAAATGTCCGTGCAGGCTGGGCAGAAGCAGCCACTCTTGCTGCTGCTGCTCATTGGTATTGGCTTTATTGCCGACCAGAGTTTGTCAGCGCCCACTGGACAGTTGGTGGTGCCCAGATTGCCCTTTGTTGAGAGCTTCGAGAGCTTCGACGACAGCGATAGCGACGGCGATGCCGATGCCGATGCCGATGACGATAACGATAACGACGTCGGCCACTTGGAGGGCAGTCGGGACCAGCTGAGGCAACTGCTTGGTCAACAGCTGAACAGCGCTGTGGCACCGCTTACAACTGCACCATTGGCACTACTGAGCCAACGTCAGCCGTCAGTTGTGGCGCCCAGATCAGGCGCAGAGTCTGCACTGCGCTTTGTCGACTCCAGCGAAGAGAATAGCGATGAGTCAGAGGATGAGTCAGACACACAAATAGATATCGAAACAGATATCGAGGCAGATACAGCCACCGAGACAGTCATCGATACAAATACAGATACAGATACTAACGCTGAGCAGGATCCGCTAGAGGGAGAGTACAATCCATATCGAGACAATTTCGAGGAGCACAACGCGGATGGCAGCTACATCTTTGGGTGAGTCGAACAGCAAAGCAACACACTTGTTGCACCACTCTGACCCACTTAAATGTCGGCACAGCTACTCGCTGCCAAATGGAGTACGGCGCTGGGAGCGTGGCTTCTACTCGGATCAACGACAGCACGGTCTGGTGGTCGAAGGCTTCTATGCAGAGCCCCGCGGCACTCAGTATGAGCTGCGCTGTTATCGCGCCGATTCGCACGGCTATCAGCCACTAGCAGGTGAGTTCAGAATATGTTTATCTGTTCAGACTAGTCCACATCATGGATAACTACATTTTCTTGCAGTGGAGTACCTGCAGCTGCCGCCGCGTGTCCGTCGCAATGAGTTGCCAACCGTGCGTTGCCTTAATTTCAACCGATAACGTCGAAAGCCGTTTAACTTAAACGTCAATATACAAATTACGAGTAACGCAACTCAATTTTTTTTTGCACGTTATAAAAAGATATACCTCTAAAAAAAACAGTTTTAATTCTTTCTCGATTAGACCTATTGTCTGACGTCTTATTCATGGACCTCAAAATACAAATATATTGAGTGAAATCGGAAATGAAATCGGAAATGAAATCTCAATGATAATCTTACTTACAGAACACAAAGCAATGTTTATGTATTATGTGCAGAAGTAGAACCAGTTGCATATTTCAAGAACAAATTGTATACAAAATTGTACGATTTTTAAAAATCAATAAACTTAGTTCAGAAATGTAAAAAAAAAACCGGAAGAATTTCAAAAGATGTTTTCAAACCCAGTGGTGACTGTGTTGGGTTGGATACATTTTTTTAATTTGTAGCGAAGTTGTATATAAAATGAATAATACACACAATCTCTGTCTTTGGAATAATCACCAGTTATTTCTCTTTTCTGTATATATATCTCTATCTATATATATATATATATATCTTTCTCTTATTCTGTTTGATGCCACGGCAAAGATAACGAACTGGCACAGTAAATAATTAATATATATTTGCGCAACTAGATGATACCCTTTCTTTTGCATTTTTCTACACTTCTGGGAACAGGGTATGGAAAATGGTGAGCCACGTCAAGCAGTTCCTTTTTTCTTCGGATTTTCTTTCGTTTTGTTTTGTGTGTGTTTGACTGTTTATCTGTTTGACAGCCCCACGCGCAGAATATGCAAATAACCGACAACGGGATGATGTTGTGAAATAAACAATGCTTTTGGCGATACTCGCCACAAAATTTGGCTTTCGTCTGTTGACTTAGGCAAATTTGTATTTAAGCAACAACAACAACAGTAACAACAAGAAATAACAGCAACAATATTGACAATAGAATAGCGGATGTGACTACCCCTTACGCGGACAGCAACCGTCTAAAGACAATTGCTCGAAATTGCTCGAGCCCGAGCGGGGACTCGGTTGTGGGAGCCGCACAAAAGGCGCCTCATCAACGCAACCAGCAACAATGACAGCTAACAAACCGTTAAGTGCCGCAACAAATCGCCAAAAATTGAAAACTGTGGGAATACACACGACGCCAGACGCCGGGCACAAAACCACCAGTCCCGCAGACCCGACCAGTCAACGGCACACCCTCACACACATAATAGTAGTAGATAAAAATCTCGGTATCCCAAAAAAAAAAACTAAATAAAAAAGACAACAACAAGACAAAAGACACAAATAAAATAAAGTAAAATAAAATAAATGAAAGGAACATACAAAACACAGTCAGCAAAGACAATAAAAGCAAATAAAAAGTATTTTGGAGTGACATTTGAATTATACTTGAAACGCTGCTACAAACAGGGCCCCAAAAACAAGGAAGTACCGCTTGTTGCCAGGGCTGGAACGAAATCCCAAACGAAATTGTGCACCATTGTGTTTAAAGTCTGCCTTAGAAATATGTCTTCCAAATATAGACAGAGTCATTAAAGCAACTTGCCATATTATTGTACTAATAAATACTATACGAGTATATTTAATAAAAGAAGTAGTATAAAATGTAAATTATTTTTTATGATTTTTATTCCAATTTACCATATACCATATTTAGGAATAATTTAGTCACTCAAATTGCGGGTCATAGCATATATCATAGCTTATCAGAAATCCTTATGTAGTCTAAATATAAAGTACTTTCATTCACGATCAGCATCAGCAGCCAAGTCGATATCGGCATCGGGTTCGTCTATTCATCTGTCAATATGCACGAGTCGAACTTAATTAATTCTTTTTCACAGCGAGCAATTAAGAAAATTTCCCGATCTGATAGATCCAAAGCAGATTCGGATTGCCATACAAAATAATGTATTTGCATAAGCATTATCCAAAGACTCTTTTATCAATATGGCAGCATATCTGATGGAATGTATATCGATGCAGACAGAAAACAATCGGAATTCTTACAAAATTTGCACTTAAATTCCGTCAAAAAGAAAGCATCAAAGCAATTGCTCATATAGTATCCAGATGTTGTTGTGACCAAGTATCCAAACTCAAAGTAAAAACAAAATGTCAATAAGCTGTACTAAAAGTTTTTGGACTGGCTGAAATTTGCCAGATGACTTTGTCCTTAGCAACGCTCCCGCTCAGTGTCTATGTCTGTCTCTGTCCCTCTGTCTCTTTGTCTCTGTTGTATTGTTTCTTAAACCGAAGTGATTGTCAACTAGCGAAACATGTCCAAGGCAATGTCGGTGTCATCGTGCAGTCCAAGTCCATCAGAGCGCAGCGTGAGAGCAACTAACAAGCGAAACATCTACGTCTGCATATTCAAGAGTATATATGATATGATATGTACATATGTATGTATGTATGTATGTGTGTTTAATGTATGTTTGTATCTAGAGTTTGCCAGTTGTTGTTGGAGTTGGAGTTTGTGTTGGTGTTGTGGCCTTGGCGTGAAGCTTTCGGCTAAAAAGTGTTTGACTGATGCGCAAACAACAACAAGTAAATAACTCAAGTTGTCGTAAAACTTCAGACTAACCATGCAGTAATCAAGTTGAAACTAAGACCAGCTGACAGCAAGTTATACACATCCGATGCTGTGGCTCGCGCAGTTGCCTTTTTTGGCCTATAATTGAGCAGTTTGCACCACAACATGTATGTGCAAGTGGTTGTGGGTGAGTGGTTGTGGGTGTGGTTGTGGGTGTGTGCGATGGTGGGCGGATGGCTGCTTTGCTGACCCTAGTCGACATTAGAAACGCATCTTTTGACTTTGTTGTAGGGAACTAACTGAGAGCATCAAACAGTGCGTCGACATGGCTGGAATGCGATAAAATTGCTGAGATTATGTAACCGAAATACTTTCAAATCGAAATCGACCAATATAAATTCATGGCTTAGACACTTGCACATGCCAGCGTCGGGCTGGCCAGCCAGCCAGCCAGCCACCCAGCCATTGGGGGATTCTGTTTGGGTTGGGGGTTAGGGGTTTGGGTTTGGGTTTTAGGTTTTCAGTCTTGTATTGGAATGGCTTGGCAGTTGGGACTATTTGCTTGCTTGCTGTACGGAAATGCTGGCAAATGAAATATTGTACAAAATGCCAGCGCGCAAGCAAGCTGAGTTGCCATTTTGGTTTCCCATTGTCCACACGTGAGAAAGAGAGACAGAGAGAGAGAGAGAGAGATAGAGAGAGACAGAGACAGAGGCAGAGAGTGAGAGGGGCAGGGGGAGAGAAGAGAATGTAGTACTAGGGTGCTAGGCAGCTGTCCCGGTTACGGATCTGTTCTGGCCACGGCCGCACACTAAACTTGAAACAATATTTTATGCTTATATGGGTAAAAATATTTATTAGTTTGTTGTTTTGCGTATCTCTGTGTGTGCGTGTGTGAAAGTGTGAGTGTGTGTGCGTGTATGGGCTCTCATGCTGACGGCGGATTTGCAGCTGCAGTTAGCGGCCACAGTGCCATTTGAATGCATCTTTTGTTTTATGGCGCTGCATTCGCAGCTGTGAAATTATGTTCTTATCCAGCGTTTGCCAAGAGGCCATCTTGGCGTCCTAACGGCCCCAATTGAGTGAATGGGGTGTGCGCTGATGTGGGCGCAAGCTGTCAAAGTGCCACCGAATAATCGTTAAAATTTATTAATTGTGCTTTCAGCTTGACGCATGGAATTTAATCTGAATAAGTGTCTGGAGTGACTCGGACGGTTTCCTGCTAATTGCACTCGTTTAATGGCCAGAACCGGTCTCTTCCAACAATAACGTTTAATCTTGGCACCTAAGCGACCAAGATGGAGGCCATCCGATGCAGAGAGCGTCGGGGGTGTTTTAATGGGACAGTCATTGCTTTAATCAGGTGAAATAACTTTAACTTCTACATGCATAAATTTAACTTTAAAATTTTACAATTTCTTGTGGTATTATTACTAAACAAAGGAACTTAGCTGATAAAATGTGACTGTAATTAATTAATTGTTTTGAAAATATAACTATAAATGTATATTAATGGCAAACAATTAGAAAGCAGCGTGCTTAAAAAAAAAACCAAATAAAATAAAGTGTATATTAAACAACACACAATTAAACAACTCAATAAATTTCGCAATTTAGCAAATAAAATAACAATGTATTTATTTGACTAGTAATTTTTTACACTTCTGTTTGTTTCACATGCAAATATATATTTAGTGATTTATATTTTTCAAGTACATATTGTAAAATGTTTAATTGGTCGAACTGCACATACAAAAATAAAAACGCTGCAGTCAGCTAGTCAACGACTGCGCTATACTCTGTTAGCAGGTTAGTTACCAAAACTGTGCTAAATTTATCCCGTTTGATTTTCTCCCTTTCGCTTTGACTAGTTTATCTTGATTGTTCCTAAGTCTGGCGACTATAAACAATAATGTTCAATATTAAAGATTCCATTTCTGTTTGCTTTTCGATATTTGTAAAAATGAGACAACTCTTTATTGCCAACAAAAGTTCAAAATATCAACTGCGGTCTTTAATTCCGCCAAAGGCAAAATACGCGAATTTCCAATGCCAAAATGCAATAGTTAGTGCACAAAAACCATTTATCTTTTTTTTAGCAAATTTTATATTTTATATTTAGATTTGCAATTGGCTTCTTTACTATAAAATCGCAATATATTGTTCAAAGTAATTATATACGTATGTATATATGTATGTGTGTACACTTAAAGCGATTCGGAAATGTATGCAATCTATACGCAATTTTACAGCTTTCAATAAATCAGATGTCAAAATAAATAAAAATGGCAATCATTATTATTATTATTATTGTTATTTTTATTTTGATTGCCTCCCGCTGGGAGACAATTGAAATTGGGCAATTCAATTACAATTCCTGGCAGACCCCGTTTTTTTCCATCATCGATTCAGTCTGATGCACATCGATAACAACAGCTATGAGGATGACGCTGATGAAGTTCTCTCGCTGCCAAATATTTATCACCCCTCAGACACCAGACATCAGCTCGGTAGCCGTGGCCATTCTCAAGGACACTCGTAAGTGTTAAACAATATCGAAAAGAAGAGAAATGCGAAAGAGAAAACAACAACGACAAGATGACGTTAATGGCATCGAATGGACGCCAACTTTTTACCAAAATCAATGACCACGAAACACGTCGCACTCAACGTGGACAGCAGGAGGTGTCGATAGCATCAGTGGATGCAGTGGAATGATGACTCGCCACGCTAGCCTGTCTGGTCAATGAACCGTGTCTCCGACTTTTACTCACACAGCGGGGGTTGGTAGACGGGGAGATTGGACTGGTCTCGACTGGACTGGATTTAACTGGCCCCTGTTACTGTGGCTGCATCTGCGCCTGACACACATTACAGTCGCATTCGGCACAACAAATCAAAAAGCAAGCCAAAATAAACCAACTCAGAATGAAAACCCAAAAGTCGAGTGCCCAAAAGACGCTGTCAAAACCACAAAGCCGCCACTCTTATTAACTAAAAAACAAAAACAAGAACGTCGAGCGTAACCGACTGCGACATACTTTGATACTTTGATAAGTAATACCAGCTGATAACAGGTAACAAATAACAGGGTAGGTGTAGCCAAGAAATACCGTCCAAGTTTGCCTTCCAAATTGCGTTATTGTTGGAAGAGTTTCCTAGTAACCCTTCATCCAAGTTTGGTAACTTTAACTCTTAAATTACGGTAGATATGGGCCTTGAACATTTTTGGGGGTGGGAGTGGGTTATATGCCGATCTTTGAAGGACATCCTTAAAATTGTGTCAAATATGTAATGCTTTATCAACTTGCAATTATCTATTTAATCGATTTCCTAGCCCCCTAGTGGACGTAGCACTCCAATTTTTAAACTTTGTCTGACGTGGGCACGTACCAGTATATGTCAAGTCTCTATCTCGAAGGGTGTCGAAAAAAGGTGCGTTCATACAGATGGACAGACGAACAAAACCAATATACAGTGATACCTTCGGTATTAAAGTATAAAAAGAAAGAAAAGAAAGAAGAACGATGTGCGGGATGAAGACACAAATGCGTCAGTGGGAGTCACTTTTGGGATGGAGCAATCGGAATAAAACTGCCCAAATCATTGCCATTGACGTTTAAGTTGATTTGTATACCTCTTCCTCAGCTGAGGGTATCATATGTTAGTCACGAACAGTGTCACACTTTAAAAAGAACATCTTTATATACCAGCTTAACAATAAGGGATTATTAAAAGAATATTTTTAAACAAAGCAATTCACACAGCAAGTTTAATTTTCTGGGAGTTCTGCATTGATTAAAGAGCAATTTGTTCCTGTTTTAGATATTTTGGCTATCAGCATTTAAATAAATGCAAGGGTATGTAACAGTCGGCGTGGCTAATATAGCCGGTCCTTAAATTTGTTTTTCTTTTATTTGACTTTAACACAGCACATTTCTCATCATTAGTTGCGAAAGGCATCATTCAGTTGAACCTCTTGGGAGTATAAAAAGCCGCCAGTTGCCAGACCAAAGAATCCATTATTAAATCTGCAGCCAGGCATAAAGTTATCGTTCGGTGCTCGATTGATAAAGAAATGTTGGGTGTATTAAGAATAATATTGTGCCTGCAGCTGCTGGTAGTCACCCTGTGTATGGTGGATGCCCGCTGGACGGTCCGCCCTAGGCGCACCACCACCACCACAGTCATGCCAAGACGCAGCACAACAGCGACGAGCGACCGCCATCAACACTTGCATCACTGGCCACCACTTGTGGCTCCGCCGGCACCACAACTGCAACCCACATTCAAGCCCGAGTCCACCGACGAAATTCGACTCGTTGATGGCTTTGATCAACGCTCGATAGATGGACAACATGAGTACAGGTGATGACAGTCCTACAATAAAACAACTTTCGCAGCTTAAAGAATTATTTTAGCCTTGACATACTGAGTTTGTCGTCTCGTCTTACGAGTTAATTATCATAATATTAACAGATATCAGCTGAGCAATGGAGACACTCGATACGAACGCACCTACTGGCTGCCCGTGGGCAAGAAATTTGTGTTGGCTCGCACTGGTTACTATTCGGTGCCGTTGCCCGGTGCTCAATACTCGACAACCTTCTACAGGGCAGATCACCTAGGCTACCATGTGGACACGCGTAAGTGTTTCACGAAAAATATGTATTTATATATATATATATTTATATATATCTATATTCCACTCAAACCCTACACCCAATTGGGTTTTGTGGGGGAGTTGGTCCAATTGGCGCTTCAATGTGTGACCGAGTGTAAAATTTTATGCCCAAAACGCAGACACATTATCCGGAGAGCAGCCGCTGTTGCCCCGCAGACTCGATCTGCCCCACAAAGTGGCAGGCATGAAGTCAACGTCAGCAGCTAAGCGAAATTCAATAAGCGTGCCAGAGCGTAACGACTTGAAGCCGGAGCTGCATTCAGATGCTCAGTCCGAAGTCAAAGTTCAAGCTGTGGCAGTGGAGGCGAATGTAAGTAGTTATATGGCCAACTGTGGCTCTGCCTCAAACATTTCACTTCGCAGAAAATAAGCAACAACAACAAAAATCATATTACAATTGCAGACTCTGAGCCAAAACCTAACCAAGCTATCAACTGTGGCCACACTCGACGACGTTTTTGCAGCTAAACTTGGCACAGCTGCAACAGCAGTGAATGACGACAATGCTGATGATGATGCTGGTGATGATGCTGATGATGATGATGATGGGGATGGGGATGATGATGATTCTGTGGCGGCTAGAGTAACATTAACGTAAACTGAAAGCCAACTGAATACGAGGGCGTCAATGCGAACCAGTAGAAGGATGAGGATGTGGACGAGAACTTGGTCGTAATCGTGGTCGGTAAAGTGACATCAAATACCTGCACATGGGTTTGGATATGCTCTACTGGCAGTGCCACAGCCAGAGCCAGAGCCAGAGCAAAAACTGGCTTTCCGCTTCGCTCTGCTCAACTGCCAGGCTTCAGTTGCTTTAAATCGAATTGTAACAATTGCCGCAGCAAGAGAGACAGCAATGAATGCTGCCGGGAGCACTTGGCATTGTGTACAGATGAGTTGGCCTGTCGAAAATCATTTTGGCTCTGCTGTATCGTAACACAATTTACGAATAGAGCAACAGACCGACAGCCTGGAAGACCATGAGACCGACATACATACACAAATACATGCACACTTCCAAAGTTCTAAGTCATCAATTCCACCCATTACGCCCATATCGTATCAGCATTGGCAATAGCAAAAGTAACAGGAACAGGAACAGCAACAAAAACAGCATCAGTTCAGCATCAGGCTCAAATTTGATTTTAACAAACAAATACAATAAAAGTTATTTCCGATGTTTAAGTAAACAAAAATGACTACACATCCAACTTTATTCCTTTCAATTAATCAAAGTCCATAAATTGTGTACTAATGGGTCTAGAATTCTGTAGACACTCACTGGTGACAATTTGTTAGGAAAAAAATGAGTAATTTATCGGCATCTTGTTAATTAGTGTTTACTAAGACAGCGTTGCAGACAATTAGCAATTGAATCTCGTTTCCAAGTCGCATATTAATGCAAATATTTGAAGTGAATAATCAAATTATCAAATATTAATGTAATGATTTTAGAATGCAATGCCAAACTTTATATAAACATAACACTAATTTAACTATCACATTTTATGAGTTTAACACTTTAACAGATTCTAACGAACCAAATGTGGCGAAGTATCAAACAGCTCCTCTAAATTAGTAAACAATTTTGCGCATCATATATGTATACCCACAAACGCACACATGTATATGTATTTGAGCATTCAACGGAGATGGCAATTTTCCTGCCACTTGAATTTGCCCCCTTCGCCACATGCCAAATATGTATTGTGTTTCACACGCAAACGCTTTCCATCATGTTCAGCTTAAATATGACGAGAATTTCACACCAAATTATTTGAGATGCACAAGAGAAAACTGATAATTGGAATGTGTTGATGATTATTATCTTAATTATTGTTTTGGACTTGTGGTTTCTGCATTTGTGAAATTTTTAGTCACATAGTCAAAGTGTCGAATACGCAAAGGCGTCTGGTAAGTATGCAGCACTAAATACGTGTGATCAACAAATATTCATACTAGATTTTACAGAAATATTAGATAAAGAGTAAGTCCATTCGAACTCGGAAGCCTTCACCTTAGTTTAACAAGAGCATACCTAATAAAACCTATTCATTTCGAATTGTATTTCTAGGGATATTACAAATAAGTAAACTAAGTAAAATAAGTACTCCGGACTTGAATTGAAAATGTAATGGGTAGTGAGCGTACTTGTGATACGGCTCTGTAACAATTTTATTATGGATTTCATGTCTTCTTATTAAAACATAAAATACTACTTAAGAACCCTGGTCAAACAGGTTTAAGTTTTTCAATGATGCTGAAAGACAGCTCCTTAAAATGAACAGTCTAAGTTACAAACAACCCAACTCAGGCATCATATCCCTCATACTCCTCATCCCTTTCTAACCCATTAAAGGTGAACAGGTTACAAAAAGAGGTATAAGAGGGTAGAGAGAGTGAGAGAGAGTGAGTTCAAGGTACGTCAAGTTACGAAACAACAAAAAGGTTGGTGCAACCACAAAAAGCTGCTCGTCATTGCCATTGCCACAAATCGTTTGAGTTTAGCAAGCATTTCTCATAATTTACCGCATTCCGCATCCGTTCGTAATTTGGAGCGCTTTGTGAGGCAAACAACTTTGATGCAGGCATTGAAGGCAAAATCCAAAAGCTATACACAGTCTTATGTAATATGTATGTATGTATGTATATTTATATGTGTGTATGTGTGTATACAGCATAATGTGTCTATGAGTATATAGTTTGTATAGAGGATCCCATGGCAAAGCACACACACCGAATTCCCGCTTCTCCCAACAACCATAGCAACTACTGGGTTGAGGCTGCTGGCTGGGAGTCATTTGCGCAATTAGGATTCAAACTGTATAAGAACTAGCTGCACTTTTTACACAGCCATACCCCCAAAACACCTGCCCATGCCCCTGCCCAACCCATGCCCGAACGTGTTGCATGAAAGCCGAAAGACGCCCGAGGCCATTCCATTCATTCGTTCATTTATTCATTCAGTCATTCACACTCGTTGTGTTGCCCATGCCGGTTTCAGTTTCAGGCTGTGCCCATTCATTAGAGAACCATGGAAGCCGACTCGTATATATGTAGGACGACTCCCACATCGGATTAGTAGCAGCAATGAATAGCTGCAGAGATGCAGGCTCAGCATCAGCTTCAGCTTCACCTTCATCTCCAAATCCAGGCTGCACTTTCGGCAGCAGCTCCTCGTTACTAGCTTGCAGTGCGTTTTACGACCAACACCAGCAACACCATACATTTCAGCACTGACTGGCAAATATGTTTGCCATAAAATGGATAACAAAGGTAGGCGCTGAGCTGTGCTCCATTTACTGCCCTCCTAGATTTGTGGAATGCTGTTCACCGATTTGCTGCTGACAATCTGTCCGCTGACGGTGCCATTCAAATAGCTTGGATGTTGAGCAGGGCCCAGCAAATGTCACCCAATTTGGTTTCGTAGAAATGTCATTTAAATGTTGACATCTGCAGTGAATGTAAAAAAAAAATGTCTTATGCATTTTGTCTCTCATTGCGTTGTGCTTGGACCATCAAATGACGGGTTGATGTTGCGACCATAACTGTTTTTTATTCTGCATTGACCAATATTTTCAAGTAGCAATCAGCTCAAATTTACTGCCAATCTCATTTATTTGGTGCCGTATCTAACTCGCCGCGTTCAGAAAGAGACTCCACATTCTAATGACTATTGGTCGTTGGTTTTACGAGCAACAGAAATACAATATTATATAATGTATGTGTTTATATTAAACATCATTTTACAATCTGTCTATTTTTGTTCTTATTGACAAGTTCATTATGTACTCGTACTCAAATGCCGCTGCTGCGGCTTTTTAATTTTAATTTTATAATGATACAACGTAATAATGTTATATAACTGCAGTTAAACCTAAAATGCATAAGCAATTATAACCAAACAGCGTTATTTAAACAAACGCTAAATAATTAATTTAATTATATTACCTCACAGCCCGAATTCCATTATTCTTTTTTGCCAAATTTAGTTTTTGTTCAAAGATATAAATAGCCAGAACTCGTTTTCAATTTATTCGAATCCTCTCGAAATTTAATAAATAAATTTAAAATCCAGTGAGCTGATTATGTAAGTGTGTCCAAATTGAAATGAACGGTAATAAGTCCCCAATAATAATGAAATGCTGCTTCCTTAACTGATGTACTGTTTTAACTCAAACGGAATTGCTATGCTAATTATCTGGAATATGGCAGTCAACTGTAAGCCAACTAAAACCGGTTTTTTTGGTTGGCTTGTGTTCAACCCATTCAACAATAGAAAAACCCATTTGGGGTTCAAAAAACTTTGCACTCAACTCAACAAAACAATTCAATTTGATTTAAATTCTTGGCGATTATAATATTATGTGGTAGGCGGGCGGGGACTGCTGGCCATGCACTTGTTGCTATTTATAAAGTCAAGAGGGTCCCAAAGGACAGCATTGGAATGGGTTGGGGTACATTTAGGCTACTCGGTAGATTAATGTATGTCTGCACACACACACACACACACACACACACACACACACGCATTGAAAAAGGTCAGCAACTAGCAGAAGCAGAAGCATATGCATAAGCACATGCTCAAATCTATTTCCAGATGGATGCTTAACCCCATCATTAATCTATCCGTATGTAGGCTCAAATAAGCCTTCTGAGCGTGTTCTATTTGGTCTCCATGGTCGATGGTTCGATTCCCCAGCGTAACATTGCCTCTTAGCACGCCATTGGCATGGGGAAGGTCAAGCGTGTGGAGTAGTCCATAAATAAATGAATTGCCCACAAATAAATAAATAAATTGAGTAATACCCATAATTGACGAGGCTAAATCACAAAGCTGTCGGTCACCCATTTCTCAACTGCGACTTGAACATGAAGCTAACATGGAGCTGCAACAATTTCGCATTTAGATTCTGGCATTGTCATCGCTGTTAACATGCAATTATCTTATATAGACAAAAAAAAAAGAATTGAAACATTGACCCGATTGGCTCAGCTGGGGTATGCATGTCTGGACGATGAAATATGTGAGTAACTCGAGCCTAATCAAAATTTATATCGGGTTGTATAGCCGCAACACACAATAATTAATTAAATCAAATAATTTTGACATTTTGTTGGATTAAAGTTTCAGTTTTTTGTACCGCATAAAGGCAGAATCGCCTCTGCTAAGCTGATTCACTAAAGCAGAGTTCAATTTGGAAAAAGATACTTGCAACATATATTTTTTTCAACTTCTTTCGTAAGCAAAACGAAGTGTTGAATTCTTTAAGTCTATTATTTACTTTGTAATTTCATATTTAATAAAATACCTATGTTTACTGCCTTAAATAAACTAAACGATTATATGCAAATGATGAATTTGTACCGATTTAAGCCATCACCATTTGACCATCCAAACAGGGATCCTTATTTATTTTTCTTTGAAAATAAAAACAAATTTAAAATTAAAATTTTAATTACAAAGAATTGAAATAAAACTAGGAGAGAATAATTAAATTAATTAAATTTCGTTATTGAGATTCGTAGATATATTTTATTTTATTTAAAATTCCGTTTTTTTTTTGTAAGTTTCGATTAAGAAGATAATGTAACTGAAATGTAATTGTAAACAAACAAACGGGCTTAAATATCGTAGCGAAAGTTTTCTCAGTGTAATGAGGTCTCCGTTCTATGTTGTTGTTGTCGTTGTTGCGAGGTTTCACACGCGTCCTAGATACGGCAGAGAGCTACGAGAGATACGAGTGAATCATAAACATTCGTTTGCTTATCAGAAGAGCACTTAATCTAATCTTGAGATAAATAATGTGGCTTTTTGTAAATTTCAATTGCTTGCAACTGATGGCCACACCACAAAATGGCAATCAAGGTGTTTTTGGTTTGGCCGCCCGAAAGCAGCCATAAAATGAACATTTAATAAATGCCCGAGCCTCAGCTGCAATTGGACATGGCCAAAGCCCTTCCGCAACGAGTCCGAAACTAGCTCGGATCGGACCCAGGCAAAAAGGCTTTTACAGTTAGTTTTATTGACTTGGATTAGTTTGCATTGGTGTGGGTTTCTGTGTGGGTGAGTTTGTGTGTTTGCGTAGCTCGAGCTGGGCGCAAATGAAGTGCGATGCCCATGCATGAATATACATTTGTATCTTGAAGATGCGGCTTGTGGTGTGGCTTGCATTGTCATTGGCCTCATTGGGTAAATTGGCCATATTTTGGTAATTGGCAATTGGCAATTGGCAATTGTGTTGCGATTTGCAATGTTTTGCCTAACTGGACTGGCTACTTAATAAATCTATGCATGCTTGTAACTTTAACCGTCTGTATATAAATTATGTATCTAGATAGACGGTATTTGTATCTGCTGCAGCTGGCGCTGAAGCTGCGGCAGTATCTGTGGCCAATTTTCTGCTTACACAGCGCATCGTGCCGCTTGCTAGACCTGCAACGAATATGCTGCTTTTATAATTTATTCAAGACTCCAAAACAGAACTCAACTTAAGGCTTACAAATTGTTTTGCAATGCCTGGCAAATCATAAAAAATGAAACTCTCACAAACATACACGCACACACAATCATACTCGAATGGACAGCGGCTGTTGAGGGCGGCCACAGAAATGTGAATCAGTTTTGAAGAGTTCCGCAAAAGCGACGTGATTTGATGCGAATTATTCTGTGCCCAGCCCCAGGCCCAGCCCCAAGCCGAAACCATATCCCAAACCCCAAATCCAAGTTCAAGCTATAGACGGCAACAGGCAACTGGCAACTGGCAACTGGCAAAAGCCACAAAAAGTGGGCAACAGCCACAGATACTGCTACAGATACAAATACAGCCGCCAAAGTTGAGAGCTAGCTGGGCTGTAGGCAAAGACGAACTCAACTTTTGCCATGGAGCAGACAACAAGTTGAATCTCGAGTCATCATGTCACGTAGCACAGCGCTACAGCGCTACATGGACCATTCATACAAATTTTGTTTTATAAGCCACTTTTATACATTATTTGTGTGTAACTTTGCCCATTCGCCTGTGTTCCATGTGTTTATCTGTGTCGGTTTCTGTTCTGTTGTTGCGGCTGTATGTTCAGCTGAATTTGTATATGTGTTTGAATATATATATATATATATTTTTTTTTTTGTATACCCTATAGTAACTGAACTTGTTAAACGGCAAATGAATGTGATTGAAAGATACTGTCAAGTTTATATGTTCTTGGAACTTGAAGATCTAAAGACATTAAAAAGAAATTTATTATTTAAATTATATATATTGTATAAGTAATTTATGCTTTTAAATTTACATATTTAATTTGGGATAATATTTTTGATGTCCGCATGATCTTGGCCAAACAACTGCTAACTTGATCTGGTTCGCAGATAGCACAAAATAATCACATTCCTTAAGCCAAACACTTTAGATTACATCAGATTAGTTGCTTAGGTGAAATATAATCGTAGAAATTAAAGATCACGAATATGCTTTAGGGTATTTCAAAGCTGAGCACAGGAAATCTTCCAGAAAACAGCATTCGTCTTACTTCAAGGGTGATTCCTTTGTTCTTGTTGTTGTTGCTGTTGTTGCTGGTGCAGAAGCGCAATATTCACGCGATTTGCAGCGAGCACATGAAAAAATACATGTCTCAAGTCATTTTTGACACAAATGATTTATTAGCTGACTTTTAAAGTATTAATTCAATAATGCAAAATAATGTAACTAAATGAGTGTGAAATTTAATTTGCCATGCGAATCAGAATATTAAAATGTATATTCTATTTTTAAACGCCGACAAATAAGAGAAACTCAAAAGCCAAACATACAAAATTGACTTTATTATAATGTGAAGGTTTGACCACACAACTCTCGCTTATTGCTCTTGAAGTTTTCATATCACTTGCCACACTGTGCGAGCATGCAGTCAAAAGATGTGGCACGTAGCGCAAAATGCAAACGCTGATTACGATGTGCACAAGGACGACACCTACAAAAGCATTGTTGTTGCCAGTAGGCTAAGAACGCAGCCAACAGCTAGCTCGACAACAGCAACACTTGCAGCTGTGCAACAGTCTGCCAAAAAAAAAAATAAAAATAAACGAAATAAAAGAATGCTGCTTGCAGGTAAATTGGCAACAAGAGCAGACGACACAGTACCGAGAAACACTTCCTGTCACGCCACTGCCGCCAACAACATCAAGAGCGCGACACCAGCAGCAACATCTTCCTTGTCTCCTGCCGCTGAGACACATCAGTTTCTTTCAAAAAGAAGAAGCACTGAGATTTGTTGGCTCTTGTCTTTGTCATCGACATACGAAACAAATGACCTTGCCAGGAGTTGTTGTTGGCAACGTTGCTGCTACTGCTGCTACTGCTACTGCTGCTTTGGTTCCGCGCAACAAGTTGGCCAAACATTTGCCGCTCTGTATTTTAATTTTGTGTTCTGGCTTTTGTCTTGTTGGCTTTATAGCTTTGTTCAAATGTGCAATGAAAGCTTTGCCAGAGTCAGAGATAAATTGCGTTTATAAATAAATCAGTTTACAAGTATGTCATTGCCTTAGCCAGGATGTCGACACCAGTTGAAGCTTCCACTGATGATGACACTTTTGACTTTTCATGAGCTGGTTTTTTCGTCAGTATTTGAGCGCTTTGTTTGTTTGCCAGTGACAGATTGACTGACTGACTGACTGACTGACTGACTGACTGACTGACTAAAAGACTGACTGACTGACAGATAGTCTGACTGACTTGCTGACTGAGTTGTGAGTGACTGCAAGTGTCGCTGTTCTGAATGAATTAGTGAACTGTGACAGTGACTGTTACACATGCAGTGACTTTGGCTGACGCCGACAATGACACGTTATAAATTTTGTCTGGCTGACAACAGCAAACAGTTGACAACACCAGCAGCAACTTAAGGCTAACAATTCATACAACGAACATATTATTCCCTTTCGATTCCCTGTCCCCTTCACTCTCCCTTTCACTGTCTGTGTCCACCTGTTCTTGCTCCTGTTCCCGTTCCTGTGCCTGTGCCTGCCACTGCTGCTGCTGCTGTTGCCCCAAGCCCAAGCCAACCTTAGATGTGTGCGCAAATTAATTCATCGGCGATAAGCTCGCGTTGAAGGGGTAACCAACAACCAACGACCAACAACCCACATCATTAACTTTGGCCGAGTGACCAAGTGAAGGAGATTCATCCTCCAGGCGCCGTCGAGCGCTCACTCTGTTCGCTAAATCACTGCACATTAAATGCAATTAAGAAATGATTGAAATCATAAATTAGCCCTAAATGGCCACAGCATCCAAAGCAGGAGAACCCTGAAACCGATACGATTGCAGGTGTGCTCCACTGCTCCACTAGGTGGCTGATTCTCTCCCTGGCTGCCAGCACGTACTCGAACTGGTTGCACAAATTGTAGGGTGTGCGGCAAGCTGTATTTTTAGTAACCGTCACATAACAGTGGGGCTTGTTGACAATTTGATACAATTTGGATTATTATTTATTTATTTATTGATTGTTCTAAAACAATAGAATAAGTATAAAAAAGGGTTGGATGATAAAAATGTTTGCTTTCAGCTTTATAATGACGTTTTGCTTTTAATTTATTTATTGTTGAATTTTGAAGCTCAAGATATATGTCTTGAGAGTGTAAGCTTAATTTATATTATCAACTAACCGTTACTATTTGCCAAATCACATAATAAATATTATTTGGTTAAATATGTACATATGAATGTATGTATATGTATACATCATTCATTGTGCATAGTAAGATGAACTTTATCAGATTTTTTGGTAGTGCGAACAGATTACAAAGCAAACACGCCGAAAACAAAAGAGGCGCAGCCTAATTGCCCAGTTAGCAAGCTGCTGATGCTCCGTCGCTCCGCCCCAGTCCCGCCCATGACGGTAACAGCACTTCCATACGAATATATACATATTGATGTACATACATACATACATGTATGTGCATAAGTAGTTAAAGTGAAGATTGTTTTATACTCTATACGCTTTTTGAAATTCCCATATGGGGTATTTTCGACGCCATTAACTCTATGTATCATCCTGGTCAGTTTCCAAAGCAGAGCATCAGTCGGTCTCTATAAAAAACACAATCTTAAAGATGTACCCTTACAATTCGGGAAGAATTTACCTGTGCATGATATAGACCAAAAACAGAGTTTTATCAGACGGTTTCGATAAAAATTGGCAATGAACAGCAATAGCAAGAAAAATCGGATCGGTTATAAAAACACTCAACAGGTTAAATAAATTGTAAATTCAAAGAAATTCACAAAAACATAGATATTATTTTGTATCGCTTGGAATTGGATACAGAGTAGCGTAAAGTCGAGCCACCTCGACTAGTTTACACTTGTTTTCCTCATTTTTTGATTAAGCGTTGAGAATTTTTTGACGTTGCCGCCGCCGCCGCAGCCGCTGGATGCTCTGCTGATTACTCTGCTGCTGCGGCTGCTGACGCTATCATCCCAATTGGGCCAGAGTCGCGTCCATGCGCTTGAATTGTTGCCGCGGTCACCGACGCAGCAGCGACAAACGCAGACGTCGCAGCCGCGACGGTTGGCATCGGCGCAGCGGCTATAAAAAGGCAATGTTACGCAGTTTCCGAATTAAACACTTAACAACAGCGCGACGGCAGACCACGTACACCAACAGCATTACCAATACCGACACCACCACCATTCCACACTCCATTCCCACACACCCACGCACAAATGGCCCAGGACTCTAAACACAACAGATATCTAATGCTGCCTCTCGCGCTACTCATAATGCTGCTGCAACTGAGCAGAGCGGCGCCAGCAGTGAGCCTGTTGAGCAACAATGCTGCACAGCAGGAGCAGCAGGTGGCAAGAGGCGCCCGTCAGTTGGACCGCTTCAATCATCGCTTTCCGGATGGCAGCTACGAGTTTCGATTTGAACTGGATGATGGCTCGGCTCGATATGAGCGCGGTTATTTTGCATACATTAATGAGGTGAAGACTTTAATGGTTGTGGGCTACTACTCTTACCGCATGCCCGATGGACGTTACATCACTGTCTTCTACAATGCGGATCAGTTTGGCTACCGGCAAAATCAATGTGAGTAAACTCCACTCCGCTCCACAGAACTGCAAGCAATTTTTCCTTGATTAATAACATATAAAAATATATTATAATAATGACTAGATGAATAATGGGAACCTTTGGCAGAATGTGTAATTTGTGATAAATCTAAAAGTTAAGAAGCAAATTCAAATTAATAATAGTCGTCTATAGTGATTACTGAAATGAACTCAGCGCTTTTTCGAAAAAAAAAGGATTATCTAGGAAATATTACAAAGCTGTTTGAAATCTGACGGTATACGAATATTATTATAATGGGATTAGATATGCAAAAGCGGATATTAATTGTTGTTCAGCATAATTTCAATTCAATTTCATGACAGAAAGTCCAATAGCTGACAGATGAAAGCATATTCGAATAAAATAGTTGCACTATCGAAGTGACTCTTCTTTTTTTGCTCTCAAACAGCCATCACTCCTCAAGTGTATCCCGATTTGCCGCGTTCGATTGAGGTGCCTGTGACCAAAGATTCGACAACAGTGTCACCACCTAAGAAGGCAACAACGCCGCCAAAGAACCAACAGTTTTGGCAACCACCCACTGTCAGCACCACGCCCAGGCTGATGACGTACTCGTCCACTCGCAGCGGTCGCTTCTGAGATATGGTTGGCCGTAATTACTGGCTCTGTGTTTTTGCGACAACTTATATTGTATTATGATGCTTTACAAAGTGATTTTAAATCTTTTTTTTTATTTATTTTATTTAATTTTTTTTTTTTTCAATAAAAAGGAATTAAAAAATAATAAAAATTTATTAAGGCAAAGCTAAAATTATGAATTTATTATTAACGGCTGCAGTTGCTGCGGCTGTTGCTGGTTTTTTTTTATGGCTACTGGGCCAATGGGCCAAAAAGCCCTGCTGCTGGCCGCCCGTGCCACGATTTCGCGATATTTCGAAAGTCTCCATCGACGTCGACAATTCGGCAATAAATTTACCGCAAAAGCGGCTCTGGCAATAAAACATACAACTGCACAAATCTCTGCATATGTGTGCGTGTGTGCAAGGGGGTAAGTGGCAATATCGATGGCATTTATACTACATACATATACATGTATATAACTCAAATTGCTAGTAAAATTAAGGGCTCCGCCACAAATTCCAGACCCCAACTCCAGCGTCGGTGTGAACACACTAACCCAAAACTGAATGCAATCCCAAGCTGCAAGTGTGAAGGTCCATCATAAATTTACAAGTGTAGACAGTTGCCAATTGCTTGGCATGGGTTGGGTCGACCCTGCCACAATGTCTGCCGTTTAAATCCAAACGATGCTGCACATTGGAATATCTGCGTATACGGAATACCCATTATTGCACCTAAGCCAGCGATTCCATGGAATGTTGGTGGTTTTTTATCATTCCAATCTCGACGATCTTACCGTGAAAATGCCCATCTGATATGCAAAGCCATAAAATAAAATTATGAGCCCTTTAGAGCACATCGAATGATATTGTGATTGCTTGTTTAATTGCAATCTAAAGACTGCACTCAAATAAAAGAGCATTCGAGCAATCGTTAAAGCAAATTACAGTCTTGTAATTTATGTGTGTGAATATTTACAGGGAATATAACATGATATCAGCATGGATAAAGTTCAGAGATCAAATGAAAGCGACAAATTAATTAGAGAAAAATGTCCCTTTTCGGAAATATTCAAGGAATTTTGTTAACTTGCTTTCGTAGTTGCTGCTCATAACTAATGGCTGGAGGAACGTGTATTCCATATTACAAAGATCAAACATAAATTAGGATTGAATAAACTGTCTAAGCTGCGAATATCCGAATAGGAGACACTCTGTAATCAGACTGTTATCTTTGGTCTCAGTAGTGTTGAGTAGTTCCTGTACCTATTCTCATTTCAAAACTATAAAAATGATAATCGCCTAAGCTGAGAGCAGTCTCATTGTAATTAAGATTTAAATTGACAGCAAAAAAACCGAAAATGGAAATGGCCGGACCATTAAAGTTCGCTTTGTCCCTTAAGCAACATGTTAAGGCGAGTGTAAAGCCACATGTAAATGACAGCGAGTGCCACAATAAAATTAAGAAATGAAATGCTCCACAAAGGGGCGGAATCTGGTTGGATAACTCGGTCAGCAGTGGATGGCAGATGGGCACGGCTGAGGATACGACGGGGCTTTGGTCTGTGTGTCTGCGTTGCAGTTTGTTTTCGTGCGCGATTACGAACCCAAAAACTTTTCACACACAAAATGAACAAAAATTTCCGCCCTCTACAGCAAAAGGAAAAACTGTGAAAATAATCTAGGAAAAAAGTAATAATGAAACAACGGCATAAAGTGTAGCTAATCAAAAGCATTAAATTAAAATAAGAAAAGAAAAAAAAAAAAAGAAACTTGTCGAAGCCAGCGTTCAAAACTGGCTGCCACAAAAGCAACACTTGGTTCTGCTTGGCTGCTGGCATGGAAAAGGAATAAGGAAGGACCTGTCTATAGAATTGCCGGATAGTCAACCCATGACTTTGCTCGATACAAAGTCACAGTTGCATTGCAAAAGTAATGAAATCTGAGTCGTATCTGTCGCATATTGATATGCTGCAAGATGCCCTGAAAAATGTAGCTGAAATAAATAAATGTACTGTTCAAACGTTATTAATTTGACAAATATCACAGTTAAACAATTGTTTTCAGGTCGTTAACTTCTAGTCAACATTGGCTATTTGCAAACAAACAAATTGACAAACGATATTACACAACAAGGTAACCGTTGAGTAGCTGTTAAAATAACTAGCCAGATCTATTATAAAAGCACCCTTATCAATTGATCGAAATTCAAAACATTTTGAAAAACCCTTTGCTTGATTGAGTGCAAGGGTATCCCAAGGAAAAAGGCAAGCACTTAAAGTAACTTTGGAAATTGGTAAAAGCTCCTTTTGAGCTTAACACAAAACGAGGATAAGGGACACAGTGGGCCACGTGGTGGATTCACATTGGATATCCAGACGGAAGGAAGCATCTAGTCGCAATAGTTAAAATTATCAATGAAACTTTACAATCACGGCACAAGGCAAAAAAGAAGGAAAAAAAATGTAAGTTTGAAGTGGGAATTAGATTCGGGGCGGAATGTTTCCGTAAGGGGATGTAAAATGAACCAGCGCCAATGGGCTAAAAGTTCACAAAGTTGCAGTTGCACTTGCTGCTCGTACACTTTGTTAACTTTGCGCCATTTAAAGCCAGTTAAAATGCCCGACTAAACAACCATCAAGTATGTACAAGGAAGTAGAATCCAGTCAATGGCAAGATGAGCAAGAGGACTCAGACGAGCTTGAACTTTGGCAAGTTTGTGCCGTGCACACAATTAAAAACTTCGGTCTAGCGCATTCAGTTTGTACTGGACCTATGTCAAGGACTACCGAGCCTGTGCTCATTAAATGTGCATCACTACAAGGGATCGGAAAAAGGTGGTGCCTGCCAAGCATCTGCGGAAAAAAAAAACAAATAAGAACGCTGTGGTCGAGTGAGCTTGACTACGATACACCCTGAACTCTGCTGTTAAATATATTCTAGTTTTATTGGCAAATTTCTCTTTAAAAAGCTTTTCACCCAAATGTGAGTAGGTCTTCAAGTGCACACATTTCTTATGTCCAGTTTGTAATAAGCAAACAGCTATATCGACTCGGCTGTTGATCTTAATCAAGAATATATACACTTTAATGGGTCGGAGATACTTCTTTCTGCCTTTTACACACATTTGCACATAGCCACTATACCCATTTGTACCCATTTTCAATGGGTTAGGGTATATACAAAAATATTCAAATTTCCAAAGCTTTAAATTTTGACTGTTCTGTATAATCAAAACGTAATAAATATTGCAAAAGTTTAACGTGGACACAGTGGACACCGAGGACACCATGGACTTCGACTTCAGCGTCTACAAAGGAAACAGGAGCCCAAATTTAAAAAAAAAAATATAAATAAAAATAAAAATTAAAAAATAAGATAGAAAAAAACCAAAATACACAGCGCCAGGAAATGGCAGCAAAATGTTTGCATGCTGCGGTGACACGACAGCAAAAAAGGAAAAAATCTAGAAACCAGTGCCAAAGGATAAAGAATAAACAAGGCGCAAAAAAATGCCAAGCGCGTGGCGTCAGGTTGTTGGTGTGGGTGTTGAAGTGGAGGGGGTGGGGTGGGGGTGGGAGTGGGGGGAAAGCGCACAAAATAAAAAAAAAATGAAATTAAATACAAAATGCAAAAATGACTTTTAAGCAGCGAAAGTCGCGTTTAGTGCTCTCTGCCCCCTGCTTGTTTTGGCAGATTGCGGTTGGAGAAGATTGCCCCTGGATCGAAGGCGTGTCGCGCCAAGGGACAGCAAACGCTGCTGCTGACGCCACCAAGCGACAGGATGTGCCAAAAGGACATCGCTGTGACGTTATGCTTCTATGCCTGTGTATGTATGTGTGTGTGTGTGGGTATGTGTGTGTATGTGTGTGTATATACACTTCATCAGCGACCGCAGCAAAAGACTACGTTCATAAAATAAAAAAAAAACCATCAACAGAATACAAACAGAAAAATGAATGCAAACTAAGCTGTTCACATCAAGAACTGCAGGGCTGATTGCATTAAAGAATGCGTTCCAGATGGCAAAAATGGTCAAAGCAATCGAATGGACAAATTAATCGAAAAACAATAAACAGAATTAAACAAATTGAATGTTCAAATATATATTAAAATATTTCATAGCAAAAAATGGCGATGAAAAACATGCGCTATTAAAATTTTTATCTCAGTGGGAGTCAAATTCGGCGAGCAAAATATTGTATGACTGTGAATCATCTGAATAGTTTATGACTTGTATCAATACTTGAAAACTAAATCATTTGACATCATTTAAAAATATTTAAAAGCTCACACTAACTAAAAATTAAAATAGTAAAAATTAATGTGAAATTCCGATTTGGTTAATTATGAAAAATAATTAACACAGCACCCACTGAGCTTAAAAAGGGGCAACAAAATAGCATGGGCTAAACTTTAGTACAAAGGCAATTGTTAAAAACTTTTTTCAAAACGGTGCGTGTTTTGTTGATTACGGAAAATTTAGCCAAGTAGTCGCAAAATATTTACACTTAGTAGAACAAGTGGTATCAGAATAATAACATTTATATTTTTTATGTACTTTTCAAATCTCGCTCAACACAGAAAATGAAGAAGAGTGCTACATTGAAGCGACCATTGTTCACTTTCGGTTGTTCGCCAGCCCTGAAAAATCAGTGTGCAACCGACGCAGCGACAACGCGCGAGTAACACGTGGCTCTTCAGTGGCTAGGCTCGCTTGCCATTGGCGGAAAAGTTGGCGAGGCCGCAACCAGATAGAAATGGGGTCGACCACAAGTTCCACCCGCTCTTTGTCTGCCCCTTGCTCCAGCTGACAACTTGTAATGAAATTTGCCATCCAAAGTTGTCCTAAATCCCAGCTAAGCCGAGCTTCCCCAACAAAGGCGTCGCCCCTTCTGCTTGTGCCTCACAGTTTTCAACCGTAAGCTGGAAAACGATGGGACTCTTCTTCCACTAAATAGACTAGGAAGTGGCAAACTCAAGCTAACTAATAGAGTAACTCACTTTGATTACGGAAGT